CTGAAACCCAAAGTCAAGGTCAGGATATTCAGGAGAGAATGGAGGGTTTCCTCAAGGATGCAGACACAATTCCTAGAAATACACTCCCTGGAATACCCGGTTCCCATAAATAACTTTGAAGGAGCAGATGCACTCACCAAAGCCTCTGGGCGAGTGTCTCATTCCTAAGCCATTCATGTGAGGGCTTGTCCTTTAAGCTACCTGCTCGTGGAAGGTGAATGTTCCTAGCCTGCCCCATGCAGAAATGAGTGTGCAGTAAGAGTTTAGAAACTGGTAGGCTATTGCATTAAAATAAGAACTTATTTTTCTCTTTCACTCTTGCTAATCTACAAAAATTTGAAAAATAAATCTCCTTGTAATTTTGAAGTCCTTTCTTAAAAGGCTTTCTTACAGGAATGATCATCAAAGCCTGCAGGAAGGAGATTTTAAGAAAAGCTTGAAAATGATTTCTAATATAAAACTGCTTCAGGGATTAATAGAATCTGCAACTGAATGTATCCCCCAGTGGGGCCTGAAATTCTAATGCTGGCTCTGCCTCTAGTGATCTGTGACCTTAGGTTACTCCAAGCAAGACATGTGGTCATGTCTTACCACGTGAAGGACCATGATAAAGCTTTGGGACACCATTACTGCCTGGTGTCTTGGTGTAAGACAGAACACACGCTTGTATATTTTTCTTTATATATACTGTCTGCTTTCCTGTTTGTGAAAGGCTCACAAATCTGCAGTAAACAGGAAATCATCAGTGTGGTGTATAAGAGCCCGGGAGAATGAGTCAGATATAATTTTAATCCTAATTTGGGCTCTGATTAGCTGAACCCTTAAACTCTTATGTTTCCTAATTCGTAAAATGAAGGAGATAAAATAAGTAATTTGATTGTCATTCTAGATTTTTGATATGATAGAGGGTATTTTGGGTAGAATGTTTATAGTGATCACAGAGAATTTAGTGCTTCTAGTTCTAGGGTAAATATCCAGATTCTCCTAAATAAAATGGACTCAGTGCAGTATTCAATGAAGATACTGGATTTTCTGCAAATACCATGTCTTACTGGGTATTTTTACAAACTGAACTCTTTTAAAGGTTAGAGAGAATTTTCTTAAAATGTTGTCTGAAGCATTTATATAAATATCTCATAATCATTCAGAATAAAAGGGTCTAGATGTAGAAATGCATCATATTTAAATTGAAACATAGAAAACATTTACTGCTTTTCTGATGTTGGTGATGGATATCTATTTCATTGTGCATACTCTTTATAGCACACAAAACATGCATTTTGTTCCTGATTTTTTTTTCTGAGACAGAGTCTATGTAGCCCAGGCTGGACTTGAACTCACCATTCTCCTGCCTCAGCCTTCCCACCCAGTGCAGTGATTATAGACATGTGCCACATTCAGCTATTCCTGATCTTTTTATATTTTGAAGTTCACTTAACCAACTTAACATCAATATAATAATAATAGCTTTTGCATAGTGTATATGCCAAGCAATTATAAGAGCTGTATTGAATCAATTTATTAAATGCCAGCAGCTACTTCATTTTTCAGATTATAAAAACTAAGGCACAGAGAAGCTAAGTAACTTGTCTAACATCACACAGCTAGGGATTTGAACCAACAATGACAGACTCCAGGACGTTTTCCCATTAGGCAAGAGTATTGCCTCTGTGTTACTGATATGTGACACAAAAATACCACTTAACAAACAGAAGGTAAACAGGACAAAATCCAGTAGAAAATTGGGTTTTGAGCAAATACAACAAAAAATGTACAAATTGCAAGTTATGTTTGTACTAAAAAAAGAAAACCCTTGAAAGATAAGATCATTTATTACAAATGTTCTTATCAAGTCTGATGAGGAAGTCAGACTGTTTTGCGAACTTGGACTTTTGTAAAGTCAGTTCCACAGCCTGGACCCCATAGTAGTGAAATGAAGTCACCCAAGGGCCACACAGGGGCCTTGCTACTTGTGCCCAGAGGATGGGCATTGACCAAAGGAGGGAGACTAATGATGATGCTGGGGTTCCCTGCTCCCCATACTTTGGAGGCCATTTGGAGCCCCACTGGGCAGATCACTGCTTCTGCTAGCCCGCACTGAGGGTACTGGCTGCGGTGCAACAATCCGCGAACCCCAACCGGACGTCTAAAAGTGTGTGGAATGGCACCCACATAGAGCCACAGGCCTCTGCCACATTCTCACAAGGAAAGAAAGGGGCGATTCGCCCCAGCGTTCTCCTTCCAGATAGAAATCCCGTACCACCAAACTCTCTTCTCTATCCAATCCACCGCCGGTGGCGCAGAAACAGCAGTTGCTCCCGCTGGGATTCCCCCTGGTCTGACCTCTCACTCTCTTCACCGCCAAGTCCCGCCCGCTCGCCCAGGTTTCCCTTGCACACAGGCAAATCCGGGAAGCTTGGGACCCATCCCAACCCCTCCCAAGGCCCCTCCTACCGGCGGGGGTGGGGTGAGCGAGTCTACGCACCAGACTCCTCCCCAACGCCCACCCTCTCCCTCCCACTACCCTACTGAAGGCAGCGCCGCACTCAAACCTCTCCGGCAAAAAGCACCCCTCCCTAGAGGTCCCTTCCCCTGCCTACTCCCCCGCGGGAATGGGGTGGGGGATTTGCCACGCACCCAGATGTCCAAAAGAACCTGTCCCGACGCGCGGCCTCTCCTAACACCCCTTGCCCATCCCTCCCCGCAACGCTGGAGGGCAGCTGTGCACGCAGACCCTGGTCTCCATCGCCCACCTCCACCGCGCGTGGCAAGCCCCCTCTCCATCTGCCCACCCCGCCATCCTCCAGTCGCCGCAGCGCAGGCGGCCGGATAGTTCCAACTTCCCGAGCGCAGCTTCGACCGTGTAGACCCGGTTTGTTGAAGAAAACCCCCGCGGCGCCTGCACCTTAAGGGATAGTTCTGCGGATTCAGTTTCAAGGCGTGAAGAGGTCTCCAAAAGCGAGCCTGCCTCTCCGGGGTGCTGGCGCCGGCAGCCTCTTCCCCGCGCGGGTTGCACTTCGCCGAAAGACAGACCCTACGTTCTGGGAGTGGCTCCTTTTCCTTCCCACCTGCTCTCAAACTGCCCGCCTCACACGCCCGGCCCCTTCCACTCCCTCCTCATCCAGGGAGAACGCCAACTCCACTTGCCCGGAGTTTCCCAAAGACGCTAGGGATGGTCAGCGTGCATGGACTGTACACTTAAGCTCTACACTCCCGCGTCCTCCAACCAGTCACAGACCCGGGACCTCAGGGAAGGAACCGAGCTGACTCCTTGGCGTATCTGATAGAAAAGGATCTGGGTGGTTCGATGCCCCCTTTCAGTCTTTCAGATACACTCCTGGCTCCCGACAGGCACTGACTAACGGAGGGGCTCGGAGGGGGCCACCGACCAGAGCAGGCTCCCGTCGCCGCCGCGACACGGAAGCCCCAAGTCCCGCCGAGCGTGCGCGCCCTCCCAGCCTCTGCCACTTCCCAGCCCCGAGGCCTCTAGGCAAGTGTAAGGAAGAAGGGGATGTTGAGAAAGCGGGGTACTCACGATCCCACTGTCCACCGGACTAGCAGGAGGGGAAGCTCTGGCGGGCTCGCCTTCGTTGGCCGTGCGCATGCGTCCGGCTTATCCTTATTTTTATCTCAACGTGGACGGCGGTCGGTTTAAGCCCGCGATCGCTCGGCTAGGCTTTCCCCCTCCCGCAACTCTGGGCTTTGCTCTAGCCCTCTTCTCCCTTCCTCTTCCTTCCCCTGCTCTGTCTCCTCTCCGCCCCCTCGCTCCCCCTCCCCGGGCTGGGCAATCCCAGGTCTCGCCTCCCTCTGGCGGCGGCGGCGCGCTCCACGCGGCGGGGGCTGGGGCACTCCCCTGTCCCCACGCGGGCCAGACCGGTGCCGGGGCCTCAGCTCCCCTCCTTCAGCTTCAGATTACGAAATACTGAGAGTGTGGGTGCGACGCCAAGCGGGCGTTGAGGGCGCCTGCAAAGCCCTCCCCGTCCCCCTTGCGCCCTCGCCTCCCTAGCACAGGGCAGAGAGAGAGAGAGAGAGAGAGAGAGAGACCAGAGTGTGCGGGACTGCGCGTTCGGTCCGGGTGAATGAAGTGGGGCGGAGGAAGGAGCTCAAGGCCGGAGCAGCGCCGCCAGCCAAATGGATGCTCGGTCCCAGAGTGGCGCCTGCAGACCGCCTGCCTCTGCACCGCAGCCCCTATCCTTTCCCAGGCCCCGGGAGCCTCTCAGCTCTGCTCCCATCTCGCCCCCATGCTGCCTCCCCCTCCGGTTCTTCCTCTCTAGAAAAGGGATCTGCACTCGGTCACGCCGGCCAGAGCCCTTGGCGACCTGGAGGCCGGGTGGAGCAAAGGAAAAACTACCCCAGCCTCCGACTCCGGATCTCGCTGAATTCCTAAAGCAGCCCCCTCGAGTCCCCCTTCTCTTGGGACTTCGGAGTCCGTGGGAAGAGGAGACCTGGGGGAGCGGAAGAACCCTGGAGCCCAGCTCTGCGGGCACTGGGCGCCAGTGTCCCCGAAGCCCGCAGTGTACCCCCGATTATGAGTTGCGGTCGGGCTGCTGGGGCTGCGTGCCCGAGCTCTGAGCGCTAAACTGAGATGAAAACTGACCTGACACAAAAATAACATCACGTCATTTCCTCCCTCGCCTGCAGAGAGGGCAGGGGAGTGGGAGAGCGAGCGCAAAGAGCCGGCGGAGGCGTGCCTGGGGGAGGCTCCGGGGAGGGGAGAGAGCTTCTTGCCAAGAGTTTGAAAGGCATCCCGGGAGGAGGGCGAGGCTCCCTCCAGCTTCCAGGGACCCTCGGGCGTCAATGAATGATCCAGAGAAAAGTAGCTTAGAGTGCCAGAGAGCTGCCAGCTTCCGTTCCCCCAATGCGCCCAGTTCTGTCCAGACCTTGTGCTAGCGTCCGCTGCTAGCAGGGGATGGAGTGGGTCAGTGGGGTTAGGAACCAGTGGGAGAGGTTGGCATCCGAGTGAGGCCAGGGATGGACATGGTGGAGACCATGGTACTCACGGGCATGGGCGAACTCTGCCCGACTCTGGCGTCCTCTTCTCTAGGTTCGGCGACCGGACGGGTCATCCTCAGCGGGTGACTCCCCAGGGGTGGGCCAGGCAATGCCAGGGCTGCCCCAAGCAGGAGCAAGAGGCGGCCAGGCAGCTCCTTGTGCCCCCGCAAGAACTCGGCAGCCAGCAGGGCGGGAAACAGAGGGGAGAAGTCCGGGCGCCACTGGGGAGCCTCAAGAGGGGGTCGCCGGAGGAGGTGAGAGAAGAACTGCGTGAGGCTGGAGAACGAGCTAGAAATGAGGCTGAACAGCTTCGGGACAGCGGGCGAACCTGGGTGCTGTGCAGGGCCGGCGGCAGGAATGGCAGGGGTGGGAGAAGAAGAGAAACAAAACCAGCACAACGTTATTGTCGCGTCCTGGCACCTAGATGCAGTCATTTATTATAGTATTTAGAGAAGCTACTTTGAGGGTTCAAGAAAAGGTCTGTGAAAGCAAAAGGAAAGGCCTAAGGTTAGATTCTCCCCCCCTCCCTTTTCTGCCCGCCCTATTTTAACTCATACTACTCAAAGTGAACCAGCTGCTTAGCCAATACCTAGAAAGTCATTAGAAATGCAAAAATCTATGGGCCCATTCCAACTTAGTGCATCAGAATCTGCAAGTAAACATGCCCAGGGAATTCGTATGCACGTTGACTGTCACGTCTCCTGTGCAGAAGGGTCTCTATTCACATCTCAGTTCTTTAGACTGTATGAAAACCTTCATGCAAGATTTCTCTCCTGTCGGTTTCCACTAGAGCTTCCACCTGCCTGAATCAGTGTTGGATTTGGCCACCTAGTTCCATTTGGACAGTTGTTTAGGGGAAACTCGGATGGTAGCTGCGGGAGACTGAGGGATCCCAGACCCACTTCAGGCTGGACACAGAAAGGGACTGGTTGATTTGACTTTGGATGGGTTGACTGGAGTGGATCCAGTGAAAGAAGAAGGTGAAAGTAAAAGGTTTTTTGTTGTTGTTGTTTTTTCTTGGAAAGTGAAAAAAAAAGTTCTTAGGAAACATTAGTCCAGTAGTCAGGAGCCTAGGGCTCTAAACTCAGCCTTATCACTAACTTGGCAATAGCGCTTTATTCTTCAAATTTGTCTACTTCGTAGTTTGTCTACCTATATAAAGTAAAGGAATAAACTGAGTACCTTTTGAAGGCCACTTGCCTTGTTCGGGCTCTCATCTTTAAGAAGCTGTCAGTGCTTCTTAGTGCACTAACGTTTAGTGTACTTACAAACCGGAACCTAACTCCCTCCAGCAAACAAAACAAAACAAAAAACAATTTAATCTGAATGTGAAAAACAAGAGTGTTGGTTGCCAAGAAAAATGAAGGTGGAGGCGGGAAGCAGCGAATAAATGTGACAGTGTGGTGAGGCGCGAAGGGGAACACAGTGCGCACTGCTGGGCGCGGGTCCCAGGGGCTCGGCGGGCGCTCTCCAGGGTCCTGAAGGCGGGAGCGGCCGCGGGCGGCCTCGTGGGGCCTGGCACGGTTCCCCAGCTCCCTAGTCATCAGGCCCTGCCTGTTTTCTTTTGGCGATGGAAGTCTTGTGGGAAGCGATTGTGGAGAGGGAGGGAGGAAACCTAGCAACCCATTCTCATTCATGAGGCCCTTTCTGGGAAGCCGCCGAGCGCGTTGGCTGATTTGTCTTTCTGTCGTTGGTATGCGTCCGGGAGAGTTGAGCTCGGTTTGCATTTCCGAGTAAGTTCACACTGTTTCACTTCCCCCTCATTAACTTTTCCTAGAGAATGGAGTCGTTCTCCTAGAATTTTCTTTCTCCTGGTTCACAAGCTCCCCTCCTCCCCTATCTGGCACAGCGCATTGATTTTGGGGCTGGAGCTGGGAGCCAGAGAGGCTTCAGGAGGAGCTCCAACGGTTCACTTGTGAGGGACAAATGGGCGATTTGAGCCAGCGTCGGTGTCCAGTGACAGAGCCGCCAAGGTCCCCTTGACCCGCGGGAGAGGGCAGGGGACTTGTCCCTCGGGCTGGAACTTGGGGGATGGAGTGCTCAACCCATGCGTACCCTTTGGGATGACCTGGGTGTTTCGCAGCCTTAGTAGGACTGCTGGCGTGCTACAGTGTCTGCTCCTAGCTCCTGAGTGGGGCGGCCAGGGGGCCTTCTCCCCATTCTCGCCGCCCACTGGGAGTGCTGGAACCTCGGCAGACATGGGCACTTGAGTGAGAGGAACACTACTCTAAGAAGTTGGTAAGAGGATTGAACAGGACCTTAGCGACCTAGAACCTCATTGTGCCTACCCGCGACCTTCCCGACTGGCCCTCCTGAAAGCTTGAATGAAGACAAAGGTGCTCAAAATGAGGGCTTCAATGCATGCCCAACTCTGAGAGCGCCCCCCCCCCGGAACTTCAGAGGCCTTTTGTGGGACCTCAAATTTGGCGTTTCCAGCTCGTGTTTGCAAATGATTTTGTGAGAACCTGTAACCCGACCCTTCTGTTTTCTCCCCTCTACCCAGGCTTTCTACCCAAGTCACTTGAGCCGCTTTTGAGCCCCTTCTTCCTGCATGCTTCATTAGGCATTTTGCTTCGGTCCTGTGCTTCAGGACAGAGACTCTTGTGAGGAAAGTGGTGAAAATACTCAGGCAGAATCAAAGTCCCCAGGATCACAGAAAAACAAATCTCGGCTCCTTTGCTCATCTGGAGATACACACCATTTGCCCTTCCCTAGACTGGTCTTTCTCGCCAGTTTTGGCTCCCAGCCTGCTACTCTCCTAGCCTGGTGAGACCTAGTAGATTCTCTAACCTACTGGTGTGTGAAGCATGATAGGTGTGGGGTGCTGGAATCTATTAACTTCTTTTGTCCCTAATGGCAAGAACAAAGTCACTGTATCAAAGTAGTCACAAAATCCAATCTGAGAAAAGTTATCCTAGGAAAGACCTCTAGCTGTCCCTGGTTGCACTGTAGAGGGCCCTGTCTGCCTTTTGAGCCAGATTTTAGATGTCAGTTGGATGGTGTCAGTAACATTAACCATGAAATGGCATCATATTCCTGAAAGTACTGGTCCTTAGGAATCAGACGACTTAGGGAACACTTTATTCTGATTGAATAACCATTTCCCTAGTTAATCAAGTTGGCTGTCCAACAGTGACCAGAATGCCTTTATGCAGACTAGAAAATTGGTACACCCAAATCAATATACACAATGCCCCCCCTTTGAAGGCAAATCAAAATTTTTCATTCACATGTAAATAGTACTATTGCAGAAAAGAAACACTCATAGCAGAATTAAACCACGCTTTTAGCAAAAATTCCAGAGTACCTTTCAAGTTAAAAAATTACAGTGAGGACAGAATTTGAAATTAGATTTAATTTTATGAAATGGCCTATTTTCACTTGAACTTTATTTTTAAAACTAAAGTTTTTTTTTTCTATTTTTCTGTGGTTTAGCCATATTATGTATTTTTGTCTTTTGTTATTTGGAAACACTGTTCATCCACTAGGATCCAAGAATCTAACCGACAGTGATTGAAATCTATAAAGGCAAATCTTTGCTTGCACTGACTATAAATTATGCAGATTGTAGGGGAGTGATAAACGAGCAAAACAAACCACAGCTATTAGAGTCACAGGTTATTAACTTGAGGATAACCAAAAAGATTAATAACATGTTTCTTTTAAGGTTCACTTAGAATCTCAATGTTCCTAGAGAAAGTACAACTGTTAAAAAACAATATCTGTATAGTTTATAGCTAGCTCTGACTTCACCCACTCTTTAATAACTTTTATCTTTTTTTTTCTTCTCTGTGCTGGGGATTGAACCCAGGACCTCATGCATGCTAGGCACATTCTCCCACTGAAATAGACCTCCAGCTTCTTTTTAATAACTTTAAAAATGTATTTATGCCTAAGGCAATGATGATGAAGAAAGAGGATCTGGGGACAGAAGTGGATTGGGCCAGAAATAAGCTACTTACATGCCGCACAAGTCTAGGGAGGGGTGACATTGGAAGGCTCTGCCTGCCCTTCCTTGAAGAGGTAAATGGACCCTCTGTTCTCCCGGCACTATAACTAACCAAGTGAAGGACTTAGGGTAGGAGATACGTCTTCATTTGGATACTTATTATATCTGCTATGGTTTGAATGTGTCACACAAAAAGTTCATGTGTTGGAAACCTGGCCTCCAGTGCAGCAGTGTTCAGAGATGGGCCTTGTGAGAAGTGATTGGATCATGAACGTTCTGTCTTCATTTATGGATTAATGAATAAATGGACTCTCTCCAGATTTACTTTGCTATAAAGTAAACTCTCTTTGGCTTACTTGCTCTGTCTTCCCACGTGATGCCTTCCGACATATTATGATGGAGCAAGAGGCCCTTACCAGATGCTGGCACCATGCTCTTGGGCTTTCCAGCCTTCAGAACTGTGAGCTAAATAAACATCTATTTTTTATAAATTACCTAGTCTTAGCTATTTTGTTCAGAAACAAAAACAAGTGAAGACAATATCCAAAACTAAACTCTTGATTCCTGCTGCTCCCGTGACACCTCCTCCTGCCCGCCCCCTGTCACCCCTCAACCTTTTCGTACAGTCTTTACCATATCAGTAAGTGGCAACTTGATTGTTTTTGTTCAGGTCAAAACATTGGTCTATTCCTGACTGTCTTTTAAAAACTCGCTAGCTAAGTCCAACAGCTTCTCATAGTCACAGCTATTACCCTGTGTTAAAAGTTGACTTACACACAGCTCCCCCCCACACCATTTATATGTTGAAATTCAAATCCCCAGAACCTCAGAATATAACCCTATTTGGAAATAGGGTTGTTGCAGATGTAATTAGTTAAGATGAGGTCATGCTGGAGTAGGATGTGAATGGTGTCCTTATAAAAAGAGGCAATGTTGACATGTCCATGGACAAGGGAGAAATCCACGTAAACATGAAGGTAGAAATCAGGTAGTGCCATCTATAAGCCAAGGAATGCCTATGATTGATAACAAGCCACCAGAATCTCAGAAGAGACATGGAACAGATTCACCCTGAGAAGGAATTTGGCCTCAAGATTGCAACATAGAAACCCTGCCTGAGTTTCCAGCCTGCCTGTCCTGTCCTGCAGATTTCAGAATTATGACTGCAAGATTAACCCTTATTTGAGTTTCCAATTTGTTGCCTTGGCTTACAGAGTTCAGACTTGCTAGCCTCCTCAACTGCATGAGCCAACTCCTTACAATAAATCTCTCTCTCTCTCTCTCTCTCTCTCTCTCTCTCTCTCTGTGTGTGTGTGTGCGTGTGTGTGTGTGTGTGACATTGAGAGAGAGAGACCTTAATGAGTTTTCTATGAAACATAGGTCACATATGTCTCTGCAGCTGCAGGTTTCTATTGGATTCTCATCCTAGAATAAAACCCCAAATCTTTATCATAGTCTTCAAGGCACTACAAGAATGATCCCACTGCCTCTAAGATATCTTCTCCCTATACAGCTGTCTCTGCAATGCTACTTGTCACCTTCAGATACTTGTTTATTTGTAAGAAGTAAGTAGGAATTTTGTCTCTTTTGTTTACTATTGCTTTGATAGTGCTTGACCCTTAATGAAGTGCTCAATAAATATTTGATGGGCAAATGAGTTAAATAAATATTATTCACCAATAGAAAGGAATGGAATTCCTACAACATGGATGGACCTTGAAAACATTATGATAAGTGAAAGAAACCAGTCACAGAAGGACACATGTTGTGTGGTTCCATTTATATGAACTAACCTAGAATAGTCACATTCGTAGAAACAGAAGAATAGAGGTTATGGCTGCTGGGGAGAGGGGAGATGAGAAGTTATTGTCTGTTAGGTACAGAATAAGTATTAAGAATACTGTAAGAATAAGATAAAGGGCTGGGGGGTTGTAGCTCAAGTGGTAAAGCACCTGCCTAGCAAGTGTGAGACCCTGTGTTCAAACCCCAGCACCACACACAGACACAGACACAGACACATGAGTAAGCTAAGCGTGTTGTAGATGTAGATAGTGATTATAGTAGAGAACATTGTGGATGAACTTAATGCCACTGAATTATATGCTTAAAATGACCAAAATGGTGAAATCTATGCTACTTATATTTCACTAAAATAAATAAAATCATGTCAAAACTTTACAAGAGGAGCAGGGGATGTAGCTTAGTAGTAGAGGACTTGCCCAGCATGTGCAAGGGCCTGGCTTCTTCCACAGAACTCAAACAAACATAGGAACAAACCCTTCAAGGCCTGAGCTTCCAGTGCATCCAGGGACAAGGACAAGGGACATCTGAAGTCATCACTCCTGATTCTGTTATTTTGTTTTCACTTGTTTCTTGAAGTTCTCTCATTTCGATTTCTGCTGCCACCACTCAAAGTATTTGTAAGATGGACATTGTCTACTCTCATTGTACTCCTGGTATTTGATGAAATGTAGGTTATGACATCGGGAAGTAGAATGAGATAGGGGACCAGGCCAATAAGGGTCTTGCAATCCACCCCTTCATCATCATCATCATCATCATTATTAGTGTTTTTGTTGGATACAGGGTCTCACTATGTAACACAGGCTGAAACTTGCATCTTTACTCTTCAGCCTCCCAAGCTGGAAGCAAGGATGTGAGCTGCCACGCCTTGCTTTAGTCATCCTTCAGACAGTATTCATGGCATGTCTCCTACGTCCCAGGCACTGTTCTACACACTTGGGATTCAAAGTGAGTGAGAAAGGAAATGGGCTGCTCTTGTGGTGATTCAGAGGCTGGGAAGAGTCTATGTAGACTAAGCAGGGCAAGTGTGTCATGCTACGGGTTTTATTACAAGTGCTAGAAAGTGACTGAAAGGTTTTAAACAAGTGACTGATACGATGTGATTTATTTTTTAAACACCGCCTTTGGCTGTTGTGTATTGGAGTGAATTGGAAGGGTGGAGTAAGGGTAGGAAACCACAGGTTTTGCACTGGTCCTAATGAAAGAAGATGATGACTCAGACAGGAAATGCGAGTACAAATATAAAGAAAAAAACCTGATATATGTTGTAGAGATGGAATTAACAGGACTTCAGATGAATTGGATGAACAAGCTGAGAAAAAGGGAATCAAAGAGAATTTTGAGTATTTTTGCCTTTGAATGGCTTGCTGAAATGAGGAAGACTGGGGTTCAAGAATCCTCAAAGACAGATTTTTGAAACACCTATGAGTCATACAAATAGAGATGTCAAGTAGACTGTCACAGAGAGCCTTGAG